AGATCACCTGAAGGACACAGGAAACTGTGTCCAGTGGGCCTGTGGTCACTGGCCAGATTCTTCATTCCCGTGTCAGGTTTGCTGGGCAGGCGGCTGCTCAGCAGGACAGAACCCCAGTCCCTACAAATGGGGCTTGCAGCTCAGGGACATCCCTGGAGAGTCCGGAACAGAGCCTGCTGTTCAGGTTCCCTCCGGCCCAGCTCCCTGTAGAACCAAGACCAAGGGTCATGTTGCATCAGCAGCTGTGGGCTTCTAGCTCCCAAGTCCTCAGGGCCACAGGGCATCTGCTATCTGTCCGTAAATATTTTTTGAGCACTCAAGACTAAAAACATAGTTCGAGAATAACTGTTCTGCATTTATTTTGGGGGATGTAATTGGGCTTCTGACAAAGACAAGGTCCCCCAAACCTATAAATATTTTTTGAGCACTCAAGACTAAAAGCATAGTTCGAGAATAACTTCTGCATTTATTTTGGGGGATGTCATTGGGCTTCTGACAAAGACAAGGTCCCCCAAACCTGATGGGTGCTGCCAGGATCTGTGCCTTCCAGGGAGCCCTCTGCCTGCACTGCGCCCTGTGGCCACCAGAGGGTGGGAGAGGCCTGGACCCGGGGCAATGACACCCCTGCCCTCCCCTGACCAGGTGCTGGGTCCTGGAGCCGCCAGCCTACCACAACACCCCCCCACACACACACACACGTCTCCTCAATGTCCCATAGTCCAGCCCACCCCACCATCCTCTGACCCTGAGACACATTTAAGGGACAGGAAGATCTCTGTAGGACCTCACTGCCCAGGCCAGGCTCGGGGGGGCGCAGATCTGCCCCACCCCTTTACCCCCCCACACACACTCCGCACCTATCTGCCCCCAGGTTTGCTCAGCTCCACTGAAGACAGAACTGTGGGAGGAAGGGAGGGAGAGAGGGAGGAAAGGAGGGGGGAAGGAGGGAGGGAATGTCTGCCTCCACTCAGTCCCTCTCCTGCTGGAATATGGAAAGGGCAGGGGCCCTGCAGCTCTTGGGCTGGGCTCCTGGCCAGGTTCCACTTGTATTGGCCTCCTTCAGCCTCTGGGTCCTTGCCTGTAAAACGGAGGCCCCAGAGGGACCAGCTAAATGAGGGGTGCCTGGGCCTCCGGGAGCACCCTTTAGCCTTTACTGTGGTTATGCGCAATTGCTCACCAGGCACCTCCACCTGGATGACCACGGGTACCCCAGTTCATGTATATAAGGAGCCTGTCCTCTGCCCAAGTCAACGCCTGGTATTGGAATCGCCTCCTTATCCTGTACCTCTAAATGCCCGGGCATTCTTCCTCCTCTCCTCTACGTCCTCTATGTCCAGGCCCCCGTCCCCCACATGGCAACCTAAACACGGGGTGGGTGGGTGCCCCTTGGTGCAGCCCAAAGAGCTGCGTTCACGCGTGACTGTTCACTTGCCACATGACCTTAATTGGCCCTTACTCACAAAGTGGATCTTTGTACCATCAGAGCCCCTGCCCAGCTGGGGCAGGTGGACACGCAATTATTCCAGTGCCGGGAGCCAAGCGGATACTCAGTGAAACACCAGCTGGTATTGCCAAGTTACTCAACCGGGTGCTCGTGGTCTCTCGCCACCAGAACAGGTTACTGCAAACCTGGTGGCTGAAACAACATAGATTTATTATCTCACTGTTTCTTTAGGTCTGATGGACATCTGAGTGGGCTGGACCAAGTTGTCTGTTCCTGGTGAAAGAAGCTAAAGACACAGTGTCAGCTGGACAATGTTACCTGGACCTGGGGGTTGAGGGGCAGGAATCTGCTTTAAACTCATTCAGGTCCTTGGTAGAATCCATTTCCCAGTGGGTCATAGGACTGAGGTTCCATTTCCACGAGCTGTCAGCTGGGGCCCGTCTTTAGCTTCTAGAGGCCTCCTGCCTGTGGCCCCTGCACCTCAACCAAGCACCCACATGTTGGTCCCTCGTGCACATCGAATTTCTCTGATTTCCCCCTTTGCCAAATTTCTCTGCTGATGGCCAATTGTTCTCTGCTTTTAAGGGCTCCTGAGAATGGATTAGACTTGCTCAGACAATCTAGGATCATCTCCCACCTCAAGGTTCCTTTGCCATGGAAGGGGACATTTTCATAGGTTTGGGCTTCAGGGCATGCATGTTTTCGGCCATCTGTCCAGCACCCGCTAAGCCACCGTGTCCCTACTTGCACTGAGAGAGGCCCCTGCTTCATAGGACTGTGGGTGTGTGTGTATATATATTACATGTTTGTGTTCGATTTTATATAAACCTGCATACATTTATACATAATAATTTGTATTTCACTGTATAATTATAGTATTATTCTAATGTAAATAATTACATTATTATTCTAAAGTTATAATAGCTTCACCTCTCAGCTGAAGGCTGTCAGTGCCCCCCTTTTATCACAAGAAGGTTGAAAATCCCTAAACAGAGGATGAGACCCCTGGGGTTGTTCCCTGGCCACCCTGGCCACTTGCCTTCCACAAAAGAACAGCCAGCTGCCCTCTGTGACTCTAGTTACTGCACACCCCCAGCCAGCCCCCTCCAGGTTCACAAGCACACCCCCTTAGGCAAGTGGGCACCCATTGAACCCTGTCTGTGTCGGCCCTAACCTAAGACTCAGGCCCTGGTGGGCGGGTCTCAGTCTTTGCCCAACACATATCCCTGTGTCAGAGACCGAGTACGCACTGTCCAAGAGAGGTCACTCGAGGGAGCAGGAACCGGAGCGGCCCTAACCTTCATCAAGGATCTGGTGGACGCAGAGACTTCAAGACCTCAGCTCCACTCGGCGCAAGCCCCCAGGACCTCCAAGGTTCAGACATCACAGATCGTGTGCAGCGGATTGAGGAGGGATTATGGCTCGCCAACCACACACTTGGGGGCGGTGACCCGGGGCCTCTGGCCCCGCCCAGGGGCCCTCCCCTTCACCCCCAGCCCTTGGGGTTCCCGTGCTCCAGCGAGTCTCTCCCTCCTAGGCAGGGACCCGAGGGAGGATTGGCGTGGGGACGGAGGGTGTGAGCTGCACGTGCTGCGTGTAGTATGGAGGGTTGAGCCGTGGAGTTGACAGCCTGGAACGTTTGAGGGAAGCTGTAGAGCTGGGAAAGGAGGGGGCGGCCCAGACTGAGGGTCCAGAGCTGCAGGCTTGGGGTGTGGGAAGGGTGAGTCCAGAGGGCCAGGCGCCCCAAGTCCACCGGGAAACTGAGAAGCTGGCCCTTCATTAAGAAGGAAAGCGAACTAGCCCTTTGAGGCCTAGGGTGGACCAGGGCCCCACAGGACTTCCTGGCTCGTGGAACGCAAACTCCTTCCTTGGACAAAAAGGAAACTGAGGCAAGTGGAGAGAACGACTGCCCCGGGCCAGGCAAGAGTGGTGAGGGGAACCTGGGGGGAAGGGCTCCCCAGCCTGGGCACCACACCCCTTCCCCAGCAGCCCCTCCCTGCACTTGGGGCTCCTCCAGTTTACTCTCTACCTTGGAGACCCCAACATCCCCAAAAGGTTGTTGAGTGGGAGACATGGCTAAGAGCAAAGCGGAGGAAGGATGGAAAAGCAGCAGGGGGGAGGAGAGGAGCTCAGAGGGCCATCTCCTCTGCCGCGGGTCAGGGCGCCGAGGTTCCCCAGGAGGACAAGGGCTGCCTCTTTCTGGGTGGCTCAGCTACCCCACCCCACCCCCACTCCTACATTAGTAGCAGGAGGCAGAAACCCTAACCACTCAGAGGGCTTCTCTACCCATGTTTGGTCCCTACCCTCAGAAGCAGGATGGTGGCCCCCAGGGGCTGCTCCCCAGCCCCAGAGCTTCAGAGCCTGGAGATAGAGGGGGGCCCCCACCTTGGAGCAGTGAGTGCCAGGAACACAGTCACTTCCGGAGCCTCCCCCAGGCAGCCTGGCCTCCTTCCAAGCAGGCCAAGGGCACAGATGGTGCTACACCTGCTCAGCAGCCCAGCAATCTGGAGAGGAGAGAAAGGCCCCGTGTCTGTTCCTGCAGCAGAGGAGACCCAGACCCAGGCTCCCCAGACTAGGGCAAGGGCTGGTCAGCAGCCCCGCTCCCCACTGCTCCGGCTCAGAAGAAAGCATGCGGGTCCACGGGATCATTCCTCCCTCCTTTCCTCACCCCCTCCCTTACCCTGTGTCGGGCCTGTGAGAGACACGCGTACATGCACACACGTACTCACCAGGCATGCAGGGGCTTCAGGAGAGCAGTAAGATCCTAACCAAATAACTGCCAGCCAAGGAGACCAGAGAGACCGGAGGAGGAAGGAAGGGTTTCTGGGTTGGGCGGGAGGGCCGGGTCTGTGCCTGGCCTTCCTCTGTGCTAGCCCTGGTGGTCAGCCGGGAACAACCCCGCTCCGGGGGAACTCTGCCACAGACAGCGAATTCAGCAAGTGTGATCCCAGATTCCAGATGCCTATGCCGGAAAGTGACGATGTCTAATGGGGCGGTGAGGAGATGCCATTAGACAAAGCCCTCAAGGTAGAGAGCAGCAAGCCTGGGGAAGTGTGGGGGCCAGCATTCCAGGCAGAGGAAACGGCCAGTGAGAGAGAGAGAGAGAGAGAGAGAGAGAGACAGAGAGAGAGAGAATGAGAGTGAATCCACTCTTATACCCCAGCCCAATCCCCACCGAACGCTGCCTTTTCTGACAGACTTGGTTCTACCGCCTGACGCTGGCTGCATCCCAGGACAGCGGCCTGACTCCCCGCCAGGGCCCGCCCGAGGCCCCGCCCGAGGCTTGCCAAGGATTGTCACTAACCGGCCCGACCTCGGCGCACACGTGCTGTCACTCATCCCAGGCCTCGCTCCGCCTCTCTCCCCAAACTGGGGCTGTCATTCAATACTGACCAGGTCCCCCGCCCCATCCAGCGCACAAGTTGTCACTCACTCGGTCCCGCCCGCGCACTTGTGCTGTCCCTCAGCCCCAGGCCCCGCCTCCCGCCCCGCCCCGCGCCCATGCTGTTATTTATTAAGCCGGCCCGCTCCACCCCCGCACACGTGCTGTCACTCACTCGGCACCCATCCCGCACACTTGTGCTGTCGTTCAGCGCCAGGCCCCGCCCCGGCCACGTGCAGTCACTCACTGCCCACTACCCGCGCACTTGTGCTGTCACTCAACCGGGTTCCGTCCGAGCAGGAGGTGCAGCTCCGCCCGGGGCCGGACACTCTTCCCGTAGCCCTGCCGCGGTCCATGGACGTCGTGCTCTTCCTCGCCCTCGGGCTGCTGGCCCAGGTAAGGCATGGGCGCTGTGCAGGGCGCTCCCTGCCCCGCTACACTGCCCAACGGCGTCTTAGAGTGAGGCACCTCGGCCTCCCTGAGACTACCGTCTCTGGCTGCCTTTGTGTGTGTGTGGGGGGGGGGAGGAGCCATGAACTGAGGGTCATGGGATGGATGGGCAGTGCTTTCCAGGGCACTCTGTGCTGGGGCACTCTGTGCTGGGGTGTCCCAGAGGCGAGTGTAACTACCGGGGCCTGGACTAGAGAGGCAGCCAGGGGACCACTTAGCAGGCCAGCCCCTCCCTCTGCGGTGTGCCCCTCAGCCCTGCGGGGATCTGGGGTAGTCAGCCTTGTGGCGGAGGGCAGGGAGAGTGGGAACAGCAAGAGCAGGAGGAGCTGGGAGGCCAGTTTCTCGTGTTCCCTGGCTGGGTTGGCAAGTGACATTCATTATTCCTGAGGGTAGTCCGGGCCCCCTTCTGTGTGCCCTGCTAGCAGGGGCAGGTGAGGGCTCTGCCCTCCAGGAACCCGCTCTCCCTTAGAAGTGCCCTGTGCCCAGCGGAGCCAGGTCCCAGCAGACAGCGCACCACCCTCCACACTCCCCACTGGTCCCTCAGCCTCCCCAAGGAGGGAGCAGGACGGTCCGGTAGGAAGCAGCACAAGCCCCACCCGCTCCTTCCCACTATGGGTACATCCTGGGAAGAGCCACATCTCCCCATGCCCTAGGTTGCTGGAGGCGCTAGGCTGTGCTCTGGAGTGGAGCATGTGGCCTCAAGTGTGCCCTCAGTGGCCTCCTGCCCTCTGGGGACTGGGCTGAACCAGGGTCAGAGGCCAGAGGCCAGAGACCAGGGCCCCTCAGTGGTTAGAGTTTCAGGCCCTTCAGGCAGCACTGGATGCACAGGGCCCTCCTGAGTCCCCCTAATTTTCATGGACCTCCGAGCTCTAGCTGGCCAGCTCAGGTTTCGGCCCTGGCGGCTGACCAGGTGCCCACCAGCAGGCCCCTCAAGCAGCTGCCTGTTCCAGGCACCTAGTCCCATGGCTCTATCCACCTTCTCCCCTGCCTTTGGGCCTTCCCACTGCCCCCCCTCGGAGACAGTGTCCTGCTGCCTGAGCCTCAGCTGCCATGTCCAGCTGGCTCAGCACAGCCTCAGTCACCCTCGGCCCAGCACAGCCTG